ACCATTTTACTGATTTTCATTGTCAAATATTCTTTTAGTATAATCTAGTAGAATTTTTGAATTTATGTGTTGATGCTCCCAAACAGTTCTCTTTGCTTTGTTAGAAAGATTAAAGCTCTTGAAGATAACATTCATCCAAACTCACTTCCATGTTGAACCACATAAAACTATGGACTTGGCATTCCAAATCTGTAAATATAATTGAAACCAAAATAGAGTTCTAGTGAGTTACACAGGTACAGTTATACACAGTGAAATTTAAAATTGAAATTCCTGAGTGCTTGCATGGAGATTCTAGCAGGGCAGTGCAACCTACTCATATCCCCTTGACCGAAGAATGGTCCTCCTCCATTTGGGGAAGTTATTCCTCTTTACCCAAGCACACAGGTTCATGAGGGATGCACATGGAGTGGTGAGGGAGGAAGGGGACACTTGCCTGTGCAGCCAGATCAGCCGAATCAACCCTGACGATCAATAGGGTGACTAATATCACAGCCAGATTATCCTCACATTATAAAATGAAATATTCTTTTTTATTACATTTTCAATTTTTTATTAATTTTTTTTCATACAATATATCCTTTTGTAATTCTGTCCCAACTCTTCCCAGATTCTCCCCATCTCCTTACTACCTTATTGCATGTTCTCCACTATCTCATAAAGCAATGAACTTATATACATAAAAGTACATAAAGAAAAACAAAAAATAAGAAACAAAATATATAAGCAAAAAGCCAATAAGATAAAAAGTGCTCAAATAAAGATATATGAGACTAAATGTCTATAAATAGCATTGAGTTCATTTGTAATGGACACCTAATACTGGGCATGGGACCTACACTGAGTGTGACTAACACACCCAAAGGAGACTCTATTGCAGAAGACTATATTTTTCCTTTGCAAGCAAGTACCAATTACAGATTGCTCCTTGGTTAGGGGTGGAGGACCATGCTATTTTCTGCTTCAGCAGTGGGACCCCATATGACTTTAACCTATGAAGTCCTACGTGTGTGTGTTTCCATATCTCTGTGGATTTATATGTGTATCAGTGAAATTCAGTGTGGCAGCTTCTCAGGAAGCAAAAAATAGATGTCCCATGAGATCCAATTCTACCACTCTTGGTCATATGCCCAAAGGACTCTACATATTACTATAGAGATACATGTTCTTTCATGTTCATTTGAGACCTTGGCACACTGTAATTTAATTTAATTCAACATTCCGAAAAAACATTTTTGAGCGTTTGGCAGCAAACACTTATAATTACCCCACTGGTCAGGCAAAGACTGGTGGATTGAAGTGTTTTCAGGGAGCCTGGTCTCAACAGAGGGTTCAACTTCAGCCAAGTCTACATGCTGAGACGCTGTCTGGGATAAAATAGAAAAGATGAAAAGAAATGTGTGTTTTTGTGCTGAGTTCTTAATTTCTGTTCAGATTAAGTCGTTTACGACCACTGCCCAGCTAAAACAAGCATTTGATATGAGGAAATGTTCAAGGACACCATGTACTACAAGAGATTGAATTATTCTCAGAGAATAATTCAATTAATCCCCCATATCTGCTCATCTGTGGAGCCAGACAAAAAGTCCTAGAAAGTGGAGACAGAGGAGACAGTAGTGATTGTTCCGGTGGGACACAATTCAGTTTTCCCGAATTCTGTTCTACTGGGAATAATTATATAGACTTCCAATGAGAAAGATTTCAGAATTATCCTGCTATAGAAATGAGAAGACTTTCTACATAAGAATTGGTATTAGTTGGAAAATCAATCTTATATGAATATTCATGTGAGTCATGGATAGTACATTTAGGATATTCTTCAAGATATATACTTGCCTAATGCTCAGAAATAGAATAGGCTTTCATTTATAGAAATGATTTTCCTGTGGTTGAGTCCTCCTGAAGTCCAATTATAAGCTGTTGGTTACCAACAATGTATGTGTGCTGCTCTGGAAGACTTCAGGTTATCATGCAGTGCAGACCATTGTTATGCGGCTCTGGAACCAGGCTGGTGGGAAGGCTTCCCTTTACAGCTTTAAACGTTTACAGATTGCCTTGTGATACCAAGGAAGCTAGTCCACATGGTGGAGGCTTTACATTCTTGTCCACATCAAGACTCCTGGCTCTGAGACAGCGTTTTTCCGTATTGATTCAGAGGCTCTTGGACCAGCCTGGCCTTGACCACACAGAGATGCGCCTGCCTCTAGATCCCGAGTGCTGGGATTAAAGGCATGTGCCACCACCGCCCAGATAAACCAAGCATTTGAAATGAGGAAATGTTCAAGGTCACCAAGCACTACAAGAGATTGAATTATTCTCAGAGAAACTGAGCACACACCTTTAATCCCAGCACTGAGGAGGTGGAGACAGAAGGGGTGTGGCTTGGCAGAGGGAGGTATATAATGCAGGAAGAGAGGCAGCTCACCCCATTCAGGCTGAGGATTCTAGACACCGGTTCTCCTCCTTTGTGCCTAAGGATTCACGAGAGGTAAGAAGTCACACTTGGGATTGGGTCTTTGATTCTCTGCCCTTTCAGAATTAACTCTGATTTCTGACTCTGGGTTTACTAAGACTAATTAGTATTCTGGCTACAAAACCTGTTGTTTTAATTTGTGTTTTTGCTAAACCCCAGGAATGTAACTGTGGACATTTTACATGATGAGGGTCAATGTCTGCAGCTTACTTACAGTGCTTTGTACTCAGAAATGACGTTCTAGGATTGCAGCAGTCTAGCATCTGTGGGTGAGAACAGCTTGTTTGAAATCACATCCAAAATTAGCATTTTTGAGTTCCATGCGCATAGTTGTAAACACTAACATTTAACATTGAAATTTTTACCCAGCATTACTTTTTCAACTGAGAAATATGCACTGTCAAGTTAATATAGCGTTCTAAATAGGAATTTGACAGATTGGTGGGAAACAAGTTTTATCCCACCATTGGTGAGGCAAAGACAGCTGGAAGTCAGTGAGATACAGGCTATCCCTTCACTGTATTGATTTCTACTTCAGCCTGGGCTTCATGGTGAGAATATTTCTCTGAAAAGAAAAAGAAAAACAGAAATTTGTGTTTTTGTGCCGGGTCCTTACAGTTACACTCTTGAGCCTGTTTCATGGTACCAGGCCACCGTATTTTCCCAGTTAGAAAAGGAGTTTTAAACAAGCTGGTGTCGACACAGGTCTGTAATCCAATTTTTCCGTATTGTCGTGGTATCTGATTCCAGGTTTTTAAGCACGAATTAGAATTCTGGAGAACACGAGGTCTGATTCCGAGACCACCATGGCCAACAAAATGGATATGTCTTTGGATGACATCATTAAGCTGAACCGGAGCAAGCAAGGCAGTCGCGGCAAAGGCCAGGGCTGGAGCAGTGCCGGCTGCCAGGGCCGCCACGGTGGTGCCAGGCGGGCCCCTGTGTGGGCGAATCGACGCAGCTGGTCTCTGAAGAACCGGCCTACCATGAGTGGTGGCTCTGCAGGAGGAGGCAGGAACCGGCCGGCTCCGTACAGCAGGCCTATACAACTTCCCAACAAGGGGCAGCATGACCGATTCGACAGCCGCTTCTGTGGTGGAGCCAGCTTGGAGATGGGCGGAAAGCTGTTGGTGTCAAACCTTGACTGCGGGGTGTCAGACGCGGATATTCTGGAACTCTTCTCAGTGTTTGGAACACTGAAGACAGCAGCTGTGCACTACGATCGCTCCGGACGAAGTTTAGGGACAGCCCAAGTGCACTTTCGACAGAAGGCAGATGCTCTGAAGGCTATGAAACAGTACAATGGTGTCCCTTTAGATGGCCGCCCCATGAACATTCAGCTTGTGACATCACAGACTGACTCACAAAGAAAACCCGCACAGAGAATGATCAGAGGTTCCATGAGTAGAAACCATGGCTCATGGTGTTTTGGTGGCGGTCTCATCCGGAGAGGGACCCGTGGAGGCAGCCCTGGAAGAGGTAGAGGAGGTTCGAGCAGGAACTCCAAGGAGCCCTTTTCTGCCGAGCAGTTGGATGCACAGCTGGATGAGTACAATGCACAGATGGACACCAGTTAAACAGCCGGGCAAATCCACAGAAGTAACAGGACCCAGAAGCTTCGTCCGTAATCCCTCGAGGGAGGGTTGGCAACTGGACTGTGCACACAATGGGGGATTTCTTTTTCGTTTGTCTCTCTCTCTCTCTCTCTCTCTCTCTCTCTCTCTCTCTCTCTCTCTCTCTCTCTTTTCCCTGTTTTAAAATGGGATCTAAAAACTCATGTAAAGGCTTTCTTCCCCTCTTTTTTTAATTCTGAAACCGACCTGTTTTGTACCGAGTCACTTTGGCGATCAGTTTTACTGGTGACTGTTGTGGAGAAGGTGGCACGTTCACCTTTGCCATAATAAACTAGAATTGTGTGTAGGAAAGAAAATAAAAAGAGAATTCTGGCTTCAAAACCTATTGTGTTTTTGTTTGTTGTGAGCTGACACCTAGTGGTGAGACTCTGTAATTCCCACAAGAGGAGGGTCAATGGCTGCAGCCTGCTCAGGGGGGGATTTTTACAGAGAATGGATGTGGCCGAGTTGTAGCAGTCTGCTTTGTGTGGGTGAGAAGTGTTTCCTTGCTGCCTCCCTTGCTCCTCCTGAGGGTTTCTTGGGAAATTACTTGTTAAGTGTATTTCTTTCAGGCAGATTTTCATTAAATTTGGTCTACAACAAATTAAGTAATTCATTTTATGTGCTTTTGTGATCCCAAACATTCAGTTCCATTTCTGCTCCTGAGGTTTGACTGGGAAGTGATTGGAAGTGGCATTCAAGTTACACTCACTGAAGAGCTGGTTTCTAGTGATTTTCCATGCTATGCCTGTTTATGTCAAATGGGGAATCACTTGTAGAGTCCTATAACTTTAACTACTCGTGTAGACTTCTGTGTTAACAATCCAGGCATTTTCCTTGTGAATGATCTCTTTCTCATGTTGGGGGCAATCAATCCCCCAGTTCTGCGCACCTGCGGAGCCAGACAAAAAGTCCTAGAAAGTGGAGAAGGAGGAGACGGTAGAGAATGATCCTGTGGGACACAATTCAGTTTTCCCGCATTCTGTTCTACTAGGAATAATTCTATAGACTTCCAACGAGAAAGATCTCAGAATTATCCTGCTATAGCTATGAGAAGACTTTCTATATATAAAAATTGCTACTAGTGGGAAAATCAATCTTATATGGATATTCATGTGAGTCATGCATTGTACATTTAGGTTCTCCTTCAAGATATATCCTTGCCTAATGCTCAGAAACAGGCTAGGCTTTCAGATGCAGACATGACTTTCCTGTGGTTGATTCCTCCTGAAGTCCAATTATAAGCTGTTGGTTACCACCAATGTCTGTGTGCTGCTCTTGCAGCCTTCAGGCTATCACGCAGTGCAGACCATTGTTATGGTTCATAATTTTCATACCTGGGAAGGGCACTTGGCTTTATGTTGGGCGAAGTCTTGTGTATTTGTCGATAAGAACTGTTGGCCAATAGCAAAGCAAGATAGGTGGGACTAGGAATCAAGGAGGACTCTGTGAAGGAGAAACACAGATTTCAAGATATTAGGCCATGGTTTAGGACGCCCGTAAAGTTCTCCTGTAAGAGAAATAATTCGATTATCAATTATGGGATAAAAACTTTTGTCAGGGCTAGCCAGTAGGAAACATACAAGGGCAACAGCCTCATAATTAATGTAGCCTCCTGTGTATTTATTTGGCCCTGATGCCGCTCTGAAACCAGGCTGGCGGGAAGGCTTCCCTTTACAGCTTTAAAAGTTTACAGATTGCCTTATGATACCAAGGAAGCTGGTCACAATCGTGGAGGCTTTAAATTCTTGTGCACATCAAGACTCCTGGCTCTGAGACAGGGTTTTCCTGTATGGATTTGGAGGCTCTCGGACCAGCCTGGCCTCGACCTCACAGAGATCCTCCTGCCTCTCGCTCCCGAGTGCTGGGATTAAAGGCGTGTGCCACCACCGCCCAGATAAACCAAGCATTTGAAATGAGGAAATGTTCAAGGTCACCAAGCACTACAAGAGATTGAATTATTCTCAGAGAAACTGAGCACACACCTTTAATCCCAGCACTGAGGAGGTGGAGACAGAAGGGGTGTGGCTTGGCAGAGGGAGGTATATAATGCAGGAAGAGAGCCAGCTCACCCCATTCAGTCTGAGGATTCTAGACACCGGTTCTCCTCCTTTGTGCCTAAGGATTCACGAGAGGTAAGAAGTCACACTTGGGATTGGGTCTTTGATTCTCTGCCCTTTCAGAATTAACTCTGATTTCTGACTCTGGGTTTACTAAGACTAATTAGTATTCTGGCTACAAAACCTGTTGTTTTAATTTGTGTTTTTGCTAAACCCCAGGAATGTAACTGTGGACATTTTACATGATGAGGGTCAATGTCTGCAGCTTACTTACAGTGCTTTGTACTCAGAAATGATGTTCTAGGATTGCAGCAGTCTAGCATCTGTGGGTGAGAACAGCTTGTTTGAAATCACATCCAAAATTAGCATTTTTGAGTTCCATGCGCATAGTTGTAAACACTAACATTTAACATTGAAATTTTTACCCAGCATTACTTTTTCAACTGAGAAATATGCACTGTCAAGTTAATATAGCGTTCTAAATAGGAATTTGACAGATTGGTGGGAAACAAGTTTTATCCCACCATTGGTGAGGCAAAGACAGCTGGAAGTCAGTGAGATACAGGCTATCCCTTCACTGTATTGATTTCTACTTCAGCCTGGGCTTCATGGTGAGAATATTTCTCTGAAAAGAAAAAGAAAAACAGAAATTTGTGTTTTTGTGCCGGGTCCTTACAGTTACACTCTTGAGCCTGTTTCATGGTACCAGGCCACCGTATTTTCCCAGTTAGAAAAGGAGTTTTAAACAAGCTGGTGTCGACACAGGTCTGTAATCCAATTTTTCCGTGTTGTCGTGGTATCTGATTCCAGGTTTTTAAGCACGAATTAGAATTCTGGAGAACACGAGGTCTGATTCCGAGACCACCATGGCCAACAAAATGGATATGTCTTTGGATGACATCATTAAGCTGAACCGGAGCAAGCAAGGCAGTCGCGGCAAAGGCCAGGGCTGGAGCAGTGCCGGCTGCCAGGGCCGCCACGGTGGTGCCAGGCGGGCCCCTGTGTGGGCGAATCGACGCAGCTGGTCTCTGAAGAACCGGCCTACCATGAGTGGTGGCTCTGCAGGAGGAGGCAGGAACCGGCCGGCTCCGTACAGCAGGCCTATACAACTTCCCAACAAGGGGCAGCATGACCGATTCGACAGCCGCTTCTGTGGTGGAGCCAGCTTGGAGATGGGCGGAAAGCTGTTGGTGTCAAACCTTGACTGCGGGGTGTCAGACGCGGATATTCTGGAACTCTTCTCAGTGTTTGGAACACTGAAGACAGCAGCTGTGCACTACGATCGCTCCGGACGAAGTTTAGGGACAGCCCAAGTGCACTTTCGACAGAAGGCAGATGCTCTGAAGGCTATGAAACAGTACAATGGTGTCCCTTTAGATGGCCGCCCCATGAACATTCAGCTTGTGACATCACAGACTGACTCACAAAGAAAACCCGCACAGAGAATGATCAGAGGTTCCATGAGTAGAAACCATGGCTCATGGTGTTTTGGTGGCGGTCTCATCCGGAGAGGGACCCGTGGAGGCAGCCCTGGAAGAGGTAGAGGAGGTTCGAGCAGGAACTCCAAGGAGCCTCTTTCTGCCGAGCAGTTGGATGCACAGCTGGATGAGTACAATGCACAGATGGACACCAGTTAAACAGCCGGGCAAATCCACAGAAGTGACAGGACCCAGAAGCTTCGTCCGTAATCCCTCGAGGGAGGGTTGGCAACTGGACTGTGCACACAATGGGGGATTTCTTTTTCGTTTGTCTCTCTCTCTCTCTCTCTCTCTCTCTCTCTCTCTCTCTCTCTCTCTCTTTTCCCTGTTTTAAAATGGGATCTAAAAACTCATGTAAAGGCTTTCTTCCCCTCTTTTTTTAATTCTGAAACCGACCTGTTTTGTACCGAGTCACTTTGGCGATCAGTTTTACTGGTGACTGTTGTGGAGAAGGTGGCATGTTCACCTTTGCCATAATAAACTAGAATTGTGTGTAGGAAAGAAAATAAAAAGAGAATTCTGGCTTCAAAACCTATTGTGTTTTTGTTTGTTGTGAGCTGACACCTAGTGGTGAGACTGTGTAATTCCCACAAGAGGAGGGTCAATGGCTGCAGCCTGCTCAGGGGGGGATTTTTACAGAGAATGGATGTGGCCGAGTTGCAGCAGTCTGCTTTGTGTGGGTGAGAAGTGTTTCCTTGCTGCCTCCCTTGCTCCTCCTGAGGGTTTCTTGGGAAATTACTTGTTAAGTGTATTTCTTTCAGGCAGATTTTCATTAAATTTGGTCTACAACAAATTAAGTAATTCATTTTATGTGCTTTTGTGATCCCAAACATTCAGTTCCATTTCTGCTCCTGAGGTTTGACTGGGAAGTGATTGGAAGTGGCATTCAAGTTACACTCACTGAAGAGCTGGTTTCTAGTGATTTTCCATGCTATGCCTGTTTATGTCAAATGGGGAATCACTTGTAGAGTCCTATAACTTTAACTACTCGTGTAGACTTCTGTGTTAACAATCCAGGCACTTTCCTTGTGAATGATCTCTTTCTCATGTTGGGGGCAATCAATCCCCCAGTTCTGCGCACCTGCGGAGCCAGACAAAAAGTCCTAGAAAGTGGAGAGGGAGGAGACGGTAGAGAATGATCCTGTGGGACACAATTCAGTTTTCCCGCATTCTGTTCTACTAGGAATAATTCTATAGACTTCCAACGAGAAAGATCTCAGAATTATCCTGCTATAGCTATGAGAAGACTTTCTATATATAAAAATTGCTACTAGTGGGAAAATCAATCTTATATGGATATTCATGTGAGTCATGCATTGTACATTTAGGTTCTCCTTCAAGATATATCCTTGCCTAATGCTCAGAAACAGGCTAGGCTTTCAGATGCAGACATGACTTTCCTGTGGTTGATTCCTCCTGAAGTCCAATTATAAGCTGTTGGTTACCACCAATGTCTGTGTGCTGCTCTTGCAGCCTTCAGGCTATCACGCAGTGCAGACCATTGTTATGGTTCATAATTTTCATACCTGGGAAGGGCACTTGGCTTTATGTTGGGCGAAGTCTTGTGTATTTGTCGATAAGAACTGTTGGCCAATAGCAAAGCAAGATAGGTGGGACTAGGAATCAAGGAGGACTCTGTGAAGGAGAAACACAGATTTCAAGATATTAGGCCATGGTTTAGGACGCCCGTAAAGTTCTCCTGTAAGAGAAATAATTCGATTATCAATTATGGGATAAATACTTTTGTCAGGGCTAGCCAGTAGGAAACATACAAGGGCAACAGCCTCATAATTAATGTAGCCTCCTGTGTATTTATTTGGCCCTGATGCCGCTCTGAAACCAGGCTGGCGGGAAGGCTTCCCTTTACAGCTTTAAAAGTTTACAGATTGCCTTATGATACCAAGGAAGCTGGTCACAATGGTGGAGGCTTTAAATTCTTGTGCACATCAAGACTCCTGGCTCTGAGACAGGGTTTTCCTGTATGGATTTGGAGGCTCTCGGACCAGCCTGGCCTCGACCTCACAGAGATCCTCCTGCCTCTCGCTCCCGAGTGCTGGGATTAAAGGCGTGTGCCACCACCGCCCAGATAAACCAAGCATTTGAAATGAGGAAATGTTCAAGGTCACCAAGCACTACAAGAGATTGAATTATTCTCAGAGAAACTGAGCACACACCTTTAATCCCAGCACTGAGGAGGTGGAGACAGAAGGGGTGTGGCTTGGCAGAGGGAGGTATATAATGCAGGAAGAGAGCCAGCTCACCCCATTCAGTCTGAGGATTCTAGACACCGGTTCTCCTCCTTTGTGCCTAAGGATTCACGAGAGGTAAGAAGTCACACTTGGGATTGGGTCTTTGATTCTCTGCCCTTTCAGAATTAACTCTGATTTCTGACTCTGGGTTTACTAAGACTAATTAGTATTCTGGCTACAAAACCTGTTGTTTTAATTTGTGTTTTTGCTAAACCCCAGGAATGTAACTGTGGACATTTTACATGATGAGGGTCAATGTCTGCAGCTTACTTACAGTGCTTTGTACTCAGAAATGATGTTCTAGGATTGCAGCAGTCTAGCATCTGTGGGTGAGAACAGCTTGTTTGAAATCACATCCAAAATTAGCATTTTTGAGTTCCATGCGCATAGTTGTAAACACTAACATTTAACATTGAAATTTTTACCCAGCATTACTTTTTCAACTGAGAAATATGCACTGTCAAGTTAATATAGCGTTCTAAATAGGAATTTGACAGATTGGTGGGAAACAAGTTTTATCCCACCATTGGTGAGGCAAAGACAGCTGGAAGTCAGTGAGATACAGGCTATCCCTTCACTGTATTGATTTCTACTTCAGCCTGGGCTTCGTGGTGAGAATATTTCTCTGAAAAGAAAAAGAAAAACAGAAATTTGTGTTTTTGTGCCGGGTCCTTACAGTTGCACTCTTGAGCCTGTTTCATGGTACCAGGCCACCTTATTTTCCCAGTTAGATAAGGAGATTTAAACAAGCTGGTGTCGACACAGGTCTGTAATCCAATTTTTCAGTATTGTGCTGGTATCTGATTCCAGGTTTTTAAGCACGAATTAGAATTCTGGAGAACACGAGGTCTGATTCCGAGACCACCATGGCCAACAAAATGGATATGTCTTTGGATGACATCATTAAGCTGAACCGGAGCAAGCAAGGCAGTCGCGGCAAAGGCCAGGGCTGGAGCAGTGCCGGCTGCCAGGGCCGCCACGGTGGTGCCAGGCGGTCCCCTGTGTGGGCGAATCGACGCAGCTGGTCTCTGAAGAACCGGCCTACCATGAGTGGTGGCTCTGCAGGAGGAGGCAGGAAACGGCCGGTTCCCTATAGCAGGCCTATACAACTTTTCAACAAGTGGCAACATGAGCAATTCGATAGCCACTTCTGTGGTGGAGGGAGCAAGGGGATGGGCGGAAAGCTGTTTGTGTCAAATCTTGACTGCAGCTGTCAGAAGCGTATATTCAGGAACTCTTCTGAGAGTTTGGAACACTGAAGACACTGTGCACTACGATCGCTCCGGAGGAAGTTTAGGGACAGCCCAGTTGCACTTTCGACAGAAGGCAGATGATCTGAAGGCTATGAAACAGTACAATGGTGTCCCTTTAGGCGGTTGCCCCATGATCATTCAACTTGTCCTATCACAGAGTGACTCACAAAGAAATCCTGTACAGAGAATGAACAGAGGAAACATGAGGAGGAACCATGGCTCAGGGTGTTTTGGTGGTAGCCTCATCCAGAGAGGGAACCATGCAGGCAGCCATTTTGAGGTAGAGGTAGGAGCAGGAACTCAAAGCAGCATCTTTCTGCCGAGGAGTTGGATGCACAGCTGGATGAGTACAAATGCACAGATGGACACCAGTTAAACAACCGGGCAAATCCACAGAAGTGACAGGACCCAGAAGCTTTGTCTGTAATCCCTCGAGGGAGGCCTGGCAACTGGACTGTGCACACAATGGTGGATTTCTTTTTCGTTCTTCTCTCTCTCTCACTCTCTCTCTTTTTCCCTCTTTTAAAATGGGATCTAAAAACTCATGTAAAGGCTTTATTCCCTCTCTTTTTAATTCGGAAACAGACCTGTTTTGTACCGAGTTATTTTGGCGATCAGTTTTACTGGTTTCTGTTGTGCAGAAGTTGGCATGTTCACCTTTGCCATAATAAACAAGAATTGAGTGTAGGAAACAAAATATAAAGAGATTTCTGGCAACAAACCTATTGTGTTTTAATTTGTTGTTAGCTGACACCTAGTGGTGAGACTGTGTAATTCCCACAAGAGGAGGGTCAATGCCTTCAGCCTGCTCAGGGTGATTTTTTCAGAGAATCCATGGGGCAGAGTTGCAGCAGTCTGCTTTTTGTGGGTGGGAAAATTTTTCTTGCTGTCTCCCTTGCTCCTCTGAGGGTTTCTTGGAATATTACTTGTTAAGTGTATTTCTTTCTGGCAGATTTTCATTCAATTTGGTCTCTAGTAAATTAAGTAAATCATTTTGTGTGCTTTTGTGATCGCAAACATTCAGTTCCATATCTGCCTCTGAGGTTGGCCTGGGAAGTGTTTGGATGTGGCATCCAAGTTACACTCACTGAAGGTGGTTTCTAGTTATTTTCAGATCTATGCCTGTTTATTTCAAATGGAGAAGCACTTGTAGGGTCCTATATCTTTAACTACTCGTGTAGATTTCTGCGTTAACAATCCAGGCACTTTCCTTCTGAATGATCTCTTGCTCATGTTGGGATCAATTAGTCACTCAGATCTGCTCACCAGTGGAGCTAGACTAAAAGTCCTAGAAAGTGGAGAGGGAGGAGACCGTACTGAATGATCCGGTGGGACACAATTCACTTTTCCTGCATTCTGTTTTACTAGAAATAATTCTATAGAGTTCCACTGAGAAAGATATCAGGATTATCCTGCTATAGCTATTAGAAGTCTTTCTACATAATTTAGGAGAAAACCTGTACCCATGTTACTTACTAGAGGGGCATACAGATGAGGTATTAAAAGGGTGGTTTAACATACCGCTAACCACACCCACTTTAGGCATGTCTAAAGATGTATACGGCCAGACGTAAAGACGTATACATACGTAGGTGGTGAACTTTGTCACTAGTCAGGCCCAGTTTTGGTCCTGGCTATGGGGCCTTAAGGGGTAAGGAATAAATGACAGCACACAGGAAGTCTCGCTCTCTTTTCCCGGAGTTCAGGTTCCGGTTCTGCAGTGCGAAAACTACTTGGCTCATCAGGGTTACTTGTTTGGTATCTTGTGAGTAATTTCTACAATAAATACTTAGTTTTACTTTCAGTAATTGTGTCGCTTTTCGTTACAGAGTCATTTGGAGCCTAATTTTGTGTTAAAAAATTTGGAATCCGGATCCAAGCGCCCAGAAAAGCAGCTGCTCCTCTGCCGGACCAGGCACATGTAGACTCTCCTTTCGCTAAGTTCCTCACCACTTCGCTCGGCAATGCATGATTTCTGCCACCAGCAACCAGCTCCTACTACGTGCCAGTAAGTTTACATGGTATTCTGAGATTTCTCTGGCGGAAACGTGCTGTTTTACTGGCAACCTGTTGATTTCGACTTGAATTACTCCACTGGTAACAAACTTAACTGCTTTATACAATGTCTAACATAGGATGTTAAGATTTTCTTGTTTTTTGTATGGGTGGGATTTTAGAAAGGGTTGAGGACCTACCTGAAAGGTACTTCCTACCCACGATGGTTATTATTAGTTTCATAATCAATATAATTTTGCTAAAGAAATGGCTCAAAAATACGACTAAACTTAAACAGGTCATACAGTCATCGCAGGATAGTTTTGAAATCTTAATAAAAAGAATTCAGGGAATGCAAAATTCCTTGCAGGATAGTAAGAAAGGGTTGGTAGAAAATATTCAGGATATTAAAAATGATAATGTAGGTCTGACAAACAGGTTTAAAGAGACAGAACACAAAATTGAATTACTTTCAGGAAGAATGTGTTCCATATATAGAATTGAAAAAGGGGAACATAATGTTGAAACATTTAACAAAAAACACTGTTCCAAGTTTCATGATTTCACTACCAAATTACAAAGACTGTAACATAAAATTGAAATGCTAACAGAAAAGAATTGTTCCATGTCTGAGAGCAATGATAAACTAACTGAATATCATTTGTGGAAGGCAGTTTACATGTCATTGAGGTACTTTCTAAGGATGAGAATATTAAATATTTGGAATCACATGTAAATGATGAATGTAAAAAAATGAAAGATTCCATGATATCCTTAGAAAAATATTTGTCCCAACAACTTCAAGAGCTCAGAGAAACAATGATGAATAGACTGCAGGATTTAGAAGACGTTCAATCTAATACTTCAGAATCAGACATACAGGCCACAGGTCAGGACAGGAGTTTCCCAACACCTCTCAAATGCCGGAAAGATCTCCCTAATGTTGCTATGCATTCACCTATGGTTTTTCCAGTAACTGTGACAGAAAAACCAGCAACGAAAAAACAATCAAAAGGTCCCATTGCTTATCATTGGGAACCTATACAGATGAAGGATCGAAAGGGCATCAAGGAGGCCATTGTTTTGTATGGTCTTCATTCTCCCTTTGACAGAGAGCTCCTAACCTTATGGGCTACCGTAAATAAAGTAACCCCAAAAGACTGGGCCAATTAGCCTCTGCAGTGCTCGAAAATTCTTGTCAAATTCAATGGAGAGCTTTATGGAGGCAAGAAGCAAAAGCTATAGAGATTCAGGAATTAAAGAACAGTCATGAGGTACCCCAAGACAAGATTCTTGGGGAGGGTCTTACGCTGACACGCAGGTTCAATCTGCATATGACGAGCACATTTTGTCTTTGTGCCGTACAGCTGCTTTAAATGTGTTGGATAAGGTTTGTGAAACAGGAGAGATAATGCAAGCCTATACCAAGGTATTACAGGGCCCAAAGGTAAGGTTCACTGAATTTTTAGAGAGATTATCCAGGTCAGTAGAAGTACAGGTAGCGAATCTAGAATCCAGGGGACTCCTTACAGAATCTTTGGCATATGAGAATGTGAATCCTCAATGCAGGCAGGTAATTTGGCCATTAAAATAAGATCAGCACCATTGGAGGAATGGGTCATACATACAGCAAACCTGGAATGTAAAAGTCAGGATACGTGAGCTAGCGTAGGTGAAGCTATTTCTACAGGCTTGAGGAGGCACCAGGATGCCCAATACCCTACCTGTGATGATATAGATGCCTGGGTAGGGAAGGCAATCTCCAAGAATTTAAATAGACATAAAGATGCAACATGCTTTAACTGTGGTCGAATAGGACATCTGGGTAGGAACTGTAGACAAAGCATTCCTAGAAATAATGCTTTTACCAGGAATGCATCCAACAGAAGGCCTCAGCCTCCTGGTCTCTGCTGGAGGTGTGGGAAAGGGCAACATTGGACTGATGAATGCTGGTCCACAATAGATAGATGAGGTAGATCTTTAAAGCCGGGAAACGGGGATCAAGGGCTCAATCGAGCCCCAAAAAGAAAAATTATCCGGTCTTTCCCAGTGACAGTGGAGGACAGCCTATCCCAGGACAATTAGAAGATCCACTGCCCATTGTAAATAATATGGCACTGGATAATACATTAGCTCCAGAGGATGTATCAATTATATCAGGAGGAGATACAAAACATAAATTTTGGCAAAATTCTATACAATATCATAGACCCAAGCTATCAGTTAAAGTAAATAATAGGGTGATTAATGGCATTTTAGACACTGGAAGTGACGTCACTATAATTAATCAGAAGTCCTGGCCCCCTATTGGGCTTTAAAAGAGGTTAATGTTCAAATCTTAGGGATTGGAACCCTATCTGAAGTTAAATAGAGCATTAGATGGATTGACTTTATTGGGCCAGAAGGACAGAGATGAAGGTTAAA